TAAAAATCCAGTATTCAGTATTAAGACTTCTTCAACCAAATCCATTAGGTTTACTGCTATTATAAATAAGCTTCACATTAAGGCATTTGTCATTACCTATGAAAAAGATTAGGATGCAAAACAAAGTAATACACACTGTACAACTTTTTTCTTTCATTCTGATTTTATCATATATATTATCAGTTTTAAATGTTTACTTTTTGTATGGTAATATATATATATCTTTAAACATATTACCTGAATATAGTTCAAATATTTCTCTATATTTTGATACTTTAACTTACATATTTAAAGCATATTCAATGAATGAGGAAATAGACAAAAGTAAATCAACATAGATGGCAAAGGACTAAATATAAGACATTACCACCTCTAAAGAAATCACTGTACAGACAGTGACGATGAGCAGATCTTGGCCAAGTCATTTAACTTCCCTGAGCCTCATTCTTTCCATCTGTAATATTTCAGTAACAGTTGCTCTGTCAAGCTGTTTTGAGATCAAATGAGATGATGTAAAAACACTTGGCAAACTGAGAAGCAATGCAAAAATAAATGGTATTATCATGGGCCAAAAGAGCTCAAGTTTCTGACAGTCTCTCTAACGAATAAAGTTATGGCCTGCTCCTTTTGCATTCACTTGAGAACTCCCAGTTTTGATTAGACTGTTATGGAAAGAATCGAGCCAAAATTTATGCAAAGAGAAAATCTCTAAGTTTTAGCATCCAGAATTGTATAAAGTACAGTTTGTTGGGAGTGGGAAACACCTACCTGAAGGGGTATACAGAATACCAAATCATAAACTAATATATTAAAAATCCAGTATTTCAGTATAACACTCCATCATCCAAAGATAGGTTTAACTCTAACTAGGCTCAGGCTACCTCTTGATACTTACTAAAAATAAACAGGGGCAGACTTCTCAAAAACCTTCGTTCCCGGCCTTTTCTCAGTCTCTTCCAGAGCGTCCTCCATTTCCCTCACCTTTGGCTTTCAGATAGCATAGTCACATTAAAAGAACTATCTCTTGGCTGGGCATGGTGGCTCACACCTGTAATCCCAAGTGCTGGGAGGCCAAGGTGGGTGGATCACGAGGTCCAGAAATTGAGACCATCCTGGCCAACATGGTGAAACCCCATCTCTACTAAAAATACAAAAATTAGCTGGGCATAGTGGTAGGTGCCTGTACTTCCAGCTACTTGGGAGGCTGAGGCAGGAGAATTGCTTGAACCCAGGAGGTGGAGGTTGCAGTGAGCAGAGATCACGCCACTGCACTCCAGCCTGGTGACAGAGCAAGACTCCATCTCAAACGAACAAAAAAACAAAATAAAACTATCGCTTATAACAGCTCAAAAGAGTTTTAAAAGCATAAAGAAACACAGCCAAAGTCAATTGCTGGTACACTATTCAGCCTGGCATAAATTTGAAACGATTCAATAATCCCTACCGTGTGCTCTCCCTTTCTTAGTCCATAAGCCCTTCCTCTATGTATAAATGGTTCTAGGCCAGCTTTTTCCAACCTTTGTTCTGAGGAACACTAGCTGGATGAGATGTTAACAGGTGAAAAACATCTGTGTTAAGTATGTTGGGGATATGCAGGGTGAGATAAATTTATGTGCCACTGAATTGCTCAGTCTTTGATGTAATGACTGTACTTGCTCAAAAAGAATGAAGTTCTTCCCAAACTCATCTGACCACAGAATCCCTTTTTTCCCCACAAAATATCTAGAGGGGCTAACAGCTCCTAGAATATTCTTTGGAACATGCTACTCTAGCCTGTTTCTGAACATTCCAGGGCTAAATCTGGCAATAGTTATATTTTTAATTTCTGAAGAAGAATCATTTTGCTTACAAAGTCAACTACCAGGATAACCTCCCGGTTTCCACTCCCGAAGTAGGCTTCCCAAAGCAACTAAGAACCAAATTTTCTTTACTACATACTGAGGAATTCAAAGAACTTATTCTTGTGTTAATGAGAATTATGTTCTTTTTAAGGAGATACTTATATTCCCCTAAGCATTAAAAATACAAAATTCTAATTCTAGATCCTAGGACTTAGAATCACAATTACTTGAAGGAAATGAGAGTATTTGATTACAACATCACTGCAGTTAACATTATCAACAACATGATAATCAGTAGTGGTGTAACAATAGTAGTGCTGGTTAAGCATTTATTTTTGCATCCTAATCCTCATATCCACTCTATGAATTTAGGACCCACTATGGCTCCCATTTTAAAGACAAGTACACTGAGGTTTACCAAGATTAACTGACTTGCCAAGGATCACACACTGGAGTTAATGACAGAACCTTAAACTCATGTCTGGCCCCTCACCCATGCTCTTAACTATATAATGCCATCTTATATTTCAGTGCCAAGACAAAAGCGTTTAGGTCACATTCTTGTTAAACAGGAAAATTATATAAATGCAAACTGTTTGGAATAGGTTTTGGATTTCCTTTAGAGCAAATCCCCAGTTCTTTAAAGAATATACTTTTAAGTTTTTTTTTCTAAAGCAGAGGTAAGTAGACTACTATTTATCAATGATGAGTTTATAGAATTTTAAAACAAGAGGTTTTTAAAAATCTGCATCCAAGGTGAAGACGTTGTCTGTGGTTTCTGCCATAACTGCAAAACGCTGATACTCTGAAACTCGTTTCTCAAAGAAATTTGTTTTTCCTTCTAAAGAAATGTTTTCCATAAAATCAAAAGGATTTTCTGCCTGAAAAAACTGAAAAGGAAAGAAACGTTATTAGACATTCTGAAGAGATCAAATTACATCCCACAGGAGAGAAAAGATGACAAAAACAGAGGTCAGGTTTCTCAAAACCTGTCTAGTCAGCTTTAAGATCACATCATTCCCCTAAGACTTGGGAGGCACTCAAGGGTGACAAATTTTAAGATGACCAACATCAACTACTAACCTCCTCAAGAAACTATACTAGCATCTCTGGTATTCTAACAAATAGAAAAAACAACTATTTCAGGAAATAAAATATTTAATACTAACCAGTTGAAAATGTTCTTGCAGCTTGATATAGCCAATACACCATAGAAACTATGAGCATTGTTTATAGGTACTACTACTAACAGATAATCACGCATACATGATACTACAAAATGTTAAATTAGCAACAATCTACTGTGGTTCTAAATATGCTTCTTACTTCATAAGAGAACAGATCATCGCAAATTGACATTAAGGGACCATGATCAAGGAAGACAGAATAAATGCTATTCATAGTGACTAGATGTCTCCAAATAAAAAGGGGGACTATGCTGACAAGAAACTTTTTACTGCTTCAGAATTCAAGAAGCAAGGCCAGGCGCAGTGGCTCATGCCTGTAATCCCAGCACTTTCAGAGGACCAGGTGGGTGGATCACCTGAGGTGAGGAGTTCGAGACCAGCCTGCCCAACATGGTGAAATCCCATCTCTACTAAAAATACATAAATTAGCTGGGCATGGTGGCATGTGCTTATAATCCAAGCTACTCAGGAGGCTGAGGCAGGAGAATTGCTTGAACCTGAGAGGTGGAGGCTGCAGTGAGCCAAGGTTGCGCCATTGTACTGCAGACTAGGCAACAGAGCAGGACTCCATCTCAAAAAAAGAAAAATTTCTAGAAGCAGACTTGGGGGTACAGCTGTGGGGTATTTCAGTGAATCACAAGGAGTAACAGAAGATTTCTCAATTTAGGAGTATCCCCGCAAAAAATATGAACACCACAGATAAACATATATTTGAGTAATTCAAGTTTAAAAATGGGCAGTTTTTAAATAGACAAACTGATACTTCTTTTAAAAATACATACAAAATAAAAAGATGTTCAACATCATTATCCACTAGAGACATGCAAATCAGGATCACAATGAGATACCACTTCACACCTACTCGGATGGCTATAATTTTCTTAAAAGCAGCTAGTAAGTGTTGGTGAGGATGTGGAGAAACTGGAACCCTCATACATTGGTGGGAATATAAAATTGTGCAGCTGGTTTAGAAAACAGTCTGGTAGTTCTTCTAATGATTAAACATGGAGTTACCATATGACACAGCAATTTCACTCCTAGTTATATACTCAAGAGAAATGAAAACATGTCCACACAAAAATCTGTACATGAACACTCACAGTAGCATTATTCACAATAGCTCAAAAGTGGAAACAAACTAAATGCCCACTGAATGGATAAATAACATTTGATATATCCATACAGTGGAATATTATTTGGTCATATAAAGGAATAAAGCACTGATACATGCTACAACATGAATACACCATGAAAACATTACACTAAGGAAAGAAGAGAACCAAAAAAGGCCACATACAATATGATTCCATTTGTATGAAACAGAATATACAGAATAGGCAAATCTGTAGGCACAAAAATTCGATTAGCGATTGCCTAAGCCAAGGCAGTTAAGGGGAGGAAAGGGGAGTGAGTGAGTGCTAATAGGGACAGAGTTTCTTTTCGGGGTGATAAAAATGTTCTAAAATAGGTTGTTATGATGGTTGCATAACTCTGTGACTACACTAGGAACTACTGAATTGTACATTTTAAATGGGTGAATTGCATGCTATGTGATTTACATCTTTAAATTAAGCTTTAAATATCTATATATCTTTTTAAAAAAAAAAAATCATATGCTATATGTGGCTGAGTGAAATTCCCCATCAGAAATTGTGTGTAAAAAGTGAGGTAAAATTGGAGCTGTACTACACAGTAAGATACAGTGAAAGACACTGAACCAATAGCCATAGACTCATTGGATTTTAGAACTGAAGACTTCTCAAAAAATTGGATCTAAGCCATTCACGGCATGGACAAGGTAACCAAGATCAAACTAAATTAAGTGGCTTGTGTGTTTTTTGTTGTTGTTGTTGAGATGAAGTTTCACTTTTGTTGCCCAGGCTGGAGTGCAATGGCACTATCTTGGCTCATTGCAACCTCTGCCTCCTGGGTGCAAGCGATTCTCTTGCTTCAGCCTCCCGAGTAGCTGGGATTACAGACACCTGCCACCACAAAAAAAAAAAAAAAAAAAAAGCGCCAATTTTTGTATTTTTAGTAGAGACGAGGTTTTACCATGTTAGCCAGGCTGCTCTCAAACTCCTGACCTCAGGTGATCCATCAGCCTCAGCCTCCCAAAATGCTGGGATTACAGGTGTCAGCCACTGTGCCTGGCCAAGTGGCTTGTTTTTGACACACAGAAGTACTTTAGGCCGGGCGCGGTGGCTCACACCTGTAATCCCAGCACTTTGGGAGGCCGAGGTGGGCGGATCACGAGGTCGGGAGATTTTATATATATATATATATATATTGGGGGAGAGCGAGCGAGCAAGAAAGGTTCTCTACTGTGTTGCCCAGGTTGGAGTGCTGTGGTACAATCTCACTGCAACCTCTGCCTCCCAGGCTCAAGTGATCTTCCCAGCTCAGCCTCCCACGTAACTGGGACTATATGCATGCCTCCATGCCTGGCTAATTTTTTGTAGAAATAGGGTTTCCTCATGTTGCCCAGACTGGTCTCAAACTCCTAGACTCTTCCACCTCAGCCTCCCGAAGTTCTGGAATTACAGGTGTGAGTCACTGTGCCTGGCCTAAAGGATATCTTTTTAATCTCTAAGTAGATGAAGTTTTTGGCAATTTTTAAATCAATTTCTACTTTTATTGCATTAAAAATTTAAGGCCTCTATAATTTCTGCTTTTTAGAATTTACTCATATATTTTGAAGCCTGTGGAAAAACAAAGTTTTACATTGTAAATAGATCTTCTTCTGCAGGAGGCACCACATTTTACATACCTCCAGTTAGCTAGTTCCCAAAAGGAAAATTAGACCCAAGAGTCAGTGGTTTCCTAATAGACCGCAGAACATAAATGTTTGGATGTGAGGGATACGGTAATGGGTTAAAGAATAATGAATTCACTGTAAGACTTAAATAAGCAAATTAGTTTTCTAATAACAAACATATTGGTAAAAGTTATGAGCAAGCACAAATTCTTTTAATATACATAGTTTATAAGTTTAAGATATATTAATATAGTTATACTCTAATTATTTCTCATTAATTAGTAAACACAAAGAGGATCTTGTAACTCAAACATTAAAATGTAGTTTATCTTACCAAAAAACCTTTGCCCCACCTGACTCATTAAGTACTTGGGTGGTTATCAGAATATAATTCTGCTGTATCTGCTAATACATTAGCAAGATAAGTACAGATTTACCACAGCATCATAGATTTCATAAGGATTCTCATTAAAGACAATTCTCATTAAAGACAATTTAAACTTACATTTTCATGACAAGAAATCAAAATCTATAATTTCTAATTACCATGGTATAGTACAGAGTGAATTTCTGTGTTTCATGTAAGTATAAAGTGATCATCTAGTGTGAATTCGCTATGTGTCTAATATTATTTTAACTACTTTAGGTGTATCAACTCATCAACAATCCTTTGTAGTAAATATTACATCTCTATTATATAGGTGAGGAAATTCAAATAGAGGTTAAGTAACTTGCCAAAGGTCAGTCATATAGCTAGAAAGTGGTGGAACCCAGGATTCAAACCCAGATAGTGTGGCTACAGGCTCCATGTCTTAAGTAATGGAAAAACCATATGTCGTGATGAAATTCTGGTACCTTATCTTTGTTAAATGACAAAAATAACTTGGATAATTCTGTTCAAAAGGTTACATTATGACAGTTAATGTCTTCACAATAATTATTCCCTATTTAAAAGTATTAACTCCCAAACTACAATATAGACACATGGGGATTTATATGAGGGTGAATATATATATGGATATTTAATCTAATTCCTTGAAAATAACTTTATGAAATATATATCTGCAATTATTAAAACACAATTTATTGAGCTTATTAGTTCTAATATTCACCAGCCTCCTGTTTCTGTTATTAATTTTAAATTTCAAAGGATTTTGCAAAAACCTTGTTCATATGAAACAAGTCTCTGTCATGGACATTTAAATAATAGAATAGTATCTGCAAATGCTTTCAGTAAAATCTATTTTAAGGTCCTATAATATTTTAACTAGTAGTAATACATTTTTCAACACCCCACCTTTGAAAATCCAAGTTCCACAAGTAATCTGTCAGCTACAAACTCAATGTACTGTTTCATCAAAATGCAATTCATTCCAATGAGGCCAACTGGCAAGGCTTCTGTTAAAAACTCCTGGATGGAAACAAAAACAGAATAAAGTACAAACAAAACTCGAAATACGAATTTTCCAAATACAAAGAGGACCTTTGTTTTATTTCTAAGATACTGATTTTGTCCAAGGAAAATATACTAGAATAAATTCTTTCAATGTGGCAAATAATGTCCATATGCTTAAAAATGTTTGGAGTATTACTCTTCAGTTTTTCATGTTTTTGAAGAGCCAAAATAAATGGAAACGAACTACCAAATTACTGGATTTCTTAAAGTAGCAGATATGAGACTTGGATTGGTATGCTTTCTCAATAGAAACAGGGAGATACTTTGTTCTAAAATATCTAGAAAAAGATTGAAAGATGATCATCATGAAGAACATAAATATGGAAGGGAGCTAGAAAAGAGAAAAACTCAATTAACAAAATGAGAAAAAAGATAGAAGCAGATTTCAGGGTTGGGAGATGAACTCCAACCGTACTGAAAGACTACAGTGGTAAAGTGTTAATAGAGGGAAAATAAAAATAACCACTTGGATTTAGTTGACACAATTATTAAAGATACCAAAGTGCCTGTTATGCTTTTTTCCTCTTCCAATATACAAACTATGCCTGTTAAACTATGCGGTGTTTTAAAAAAAAAAAGTAATTTTAGAATGATAAAAACACATCCTAAGTAGAGCATCTAGCTCTTTCTAGTAAGAAATATTTACATACTCTAACTTAATTGTTACTCTTCATTAACTTACTTATTCATTCTATGAAAATTTGTGTATGCTTCAAGCTAGGTACCTTGCTATGTTATTAAAAATACAAAACAGATAAAAAATCATCACTGTTCTCCAGTCACTAAAAATATAAAAATACCAAGTACTATAATTAGCTGGTTATGGCATAAAATTTGACAGAGAGCAATAAGACAGAAAAGTAGCCCTGAAACAGGTTTTAGTATACATAAAACCTTAATATATAATAAAGACTGACTTAATAAAGCAAATTATAAACTGACATAATAATTGTAATATACCATGTATTGGTATTGTCAGACTGACCATACAAAATTGCTGGTATTTTTGTTGATCTACAAAATGACAATTTCATATGAGTCAATATAATAGTGGTATGAACATCAGAGAAAGAGAGATGTGCTAATTACACAATCTTCCTGGTTTACCTGCTCGATTTTGACAGCATCAACAATGATCTCCCTGACCCTTTCTTCTGAAGGTTTATTTACTAAGTATTGAAACATCAGGCAAGCAAAATCACAGTGAAGTCCCTAAAAGAGAAGAAAAATGTCATTGTCAAATAACTTTTAATCAGCTACTTGCACACAATGATGGGTCAAGCATCGTATAATGTGGTTCTAGGGATATACCACAGAACTTCTGGGAAATGGAAGAGAGGTTAATAGGACTAGGAACTTCCTTCCTTCAAATCTCATTAAATGCCAATACAATAAGCTATAATAAAATTTTCAATGGCAGCAAATCTTAATTCATCAACATTATAGAAAAATTAATTTATGAACAAACAAAATCTGCAAATAAAAGCATTTTGGAAAGGAAAATAAAGTAAGAAAGCCTGAAATGAAAATTCATTTTTTAAATTTCAGAAATAATTAAGGAATGATTTAAAAAGCAGTATTTAAATAATAGATGAAACTCAGATTTCAAAAATACAACATTTATAATTAAATAAGAAAGGCTCATAAAAATGAATCCAGTTACAATGAAAATGGAAACTAAGGTGGTGCTTGATGGCTCATGCCTGTAATCTCAGCACTTTGGGAGGTCAAGGTGGGCAGATTGCTTGAGTTCAGGAGTTCCAGACCAGCCTGAGCAACACAGTGAGACCCTGTGTCTACAAAAAAAACTTTTTTTTAAATTAGCCGGATGTGGTGGTTAATTAAATACATGTAGTTCAGCTACTTAGGAGGCTGAGGTGGGAGGACTGCTTGAGCCCAGGAGGTCGAAGCTACAGTGAGACAGGGTCGTCAAATAAATGATTCATTCATTAGAATATTATATATTTAACAAAACTATTATTTTCAAAAGATGCTAATGTCATAGAAAAATGATTGCAGTATTTTGCCAAGTGGAAAAAAACATCTCAACTCCTAAAAACATGAATGATTAAAATGTTTATATATCTAAATAGAATTAAATATAGAAAAAAAGTCTAGAAAGAAATATTTTAACAAAACAGTAAATGTGGTTCTGTGTGCTGAGATTAATTTTTTTATTCTCTCAATTATCTATAATAATCCTAAATGACATTTCTAATAAATGTTATTAGAAATTTAAAGACATGACAAAGAAAAAGTAATTATATGAAGATTTTATGGCATTTAAAAAATTCACATACACTATTTCATTGCATTCTAATAAAATGGTTAAATTATATAGTTGAAGAAACCAAGGTTCAGAGAACTTAAGGATTAGCATAGGCAATAAATGTAAACTGAATGGCTAAAATAGCCAAAAACACCAAGAATAGAAAGATAAATAAGACAAGGTACCTGCACTAAGGAGCTTAAGGTCTAGCAGAAAAGAGAAATAAGAAGTACAATACAGGCTGGGACTCTAAGACACAGACAGGTTCAAGTTTCAAATGGATACATAAAGGAAAGAGTAGACCCCTTCACCTAATTGATCAGGAAAGTTCTGAGATGTCTCTTCTGAGAATATAATCCAAAAAAGCTTTAAAAAAAAGGTGGTAAGAAAGATGGAAAGGGTATAGCAGGCAGAGGGAGACCAGGTTTAGTTGCTGATTGGATATGGCTGAAAAAGAAAAGCAGCAACCTAAAATGACTCCTAGATTTCAAATTAGTTAACTGGAAAGAAGGGTAAAGACACTCAGTGAACAGGGAAAACAGAAGGAACAACAAATTCTTGGAGAAAGATGATAAGTTTGATTTCTGAAAGAACAGGTTTGAGATACCTGAGGGAACTTCAAGGGGAAAATGTCTAACATGTACTAGCATACATTGGTTTGGAACTTAGGAAAGAATATATGGGACAAAGAGAAAGTTTTGGGAGTTATGAGCATTTAGATGGTAGCTGATTTCATGGGAGTCAGCCAGAAGGGCATGTACAGGCCAGAGAGGGAACCTAGGAGGATACTGATATTAAGAATGACCAGGAGACTGAGGAAAAATGGTGAGAGACATCAGAGGAAAATGCAGTGTCTTAAAAGCAAGAAGACGTGACTACCTATTTTAATTACCATGATACGTGTGCCACCACAGCATTTTTCAGGAGAAAGAAAAATAAATGGGAGAGGCACAGTGGTTCATGTCTGTAATCCCTGCACGTTGGGAGGCTGAGGCAGGCAAATCACTTGAGCCCAGTAGTTCAGGACCAGCCTGGGCAACATGGTGAAACCTCATCTCTAAAAAAAAAAAAAAAAAAAATTAGGCCAGGGCTGGGTGCAGTGGTTCACACCTATAATCCCAGCACTTTGGGAGGCCAAGGCAGACAGATCATGAGGTTAGGAGATCGAGCCCATTCTGGCTAACACAGTGAAACTCCATCTCTACTAAAAATACAAAAAATTAGCCATGTGTGGTGGCACACATCTGTAGTCCCAGCTACTCAGGAGGCTGAGGCAGGAGAATTGCTTGAACCAAAAGTTGGAGGTTGCAGTGAGCCAAAATCACACCACTGCACTCCAGCCTGGACAACAGAGATAGACTCCATCTCAAAAAAAAATTAGGCCAGTTACAGTGGAGTATACCTGTAGTCCCAGCAACACAGGAGGCTGAGGGGGAGGAAGGCTTGAGCCCAGGAAACTCAAGGTGGCAGTGAGCCATGATAGTGCCACTGTACTGCAGCCTGGGTGACACAGTGAGATCCTGTCTCAAATAAAAAGAAAGAAAGAAAGGAAAGAAAAATAGATGAACATCAAATATGAATACAAACATAACTAGAAAAACATTCCATTCCTTACTTCATCTCTGCTGATGAGTTCATTGGAAAAAGTGAGTCCTGGCATAAGACCTCTCTTCTTTAGCCAGAATATAGCAGCAAAAGATCCTGAGAAGAAAACTCCTTCTACAGCAGCGAAGGCCACCACTCTTTCCCCTGGGAGACATAAAATAGTTTCAATTTTTGAAATATCACATACTGCAAACATTTGCACATATATATATATAAAAACAATAAACACCACAACTGTTTTGCAAAGAAACAAAATACTCAAGTTAGCGCCATAGCCAAAGATCTCCATAGGAGAAAATTTGCCACCTCCACCTACTGGAGCAGAAAGGTATGCCTCCTTCAAATCCTCTGTCAATGAACTTCTATAGGTCTTGGTGTCTGGACAAAGAATGGCCTTTCATACTCAAAACAAGAGGTGATTTACATGTGTACCACACATGACTGTGAGTGCAGGTACATGCATATGTGTGCAGTATCTATACATACGTGTGTGTATACTGGACTGGAGAATAGAAGGTAGACTTTATGACAAACGTCTTCCTCTGAAAGGAGGAGAGGTTGCTTATGTTTATATTTTTAGAAACCTATGGTATCTTAGAGACTATCTGCAGACATTTCAAAAGCCATTGGCATGCATTTACATTTAAAAAAAGATAAACCCAACTGAGGATAATAAATATATCTGTTAGATAAAAAGTCCCCATAACATAAGCAAAAATACTGTTTTCTGCGAAATATAAAAGGGCCAATTTTAAAGGTTAGGCAAGGACTTTGTAGAGGTCCATCTCCTATTAATAAATTGTCTACAGTGGCATCCTATCTGTAACATCACCAGGATGATCAGAGGTCTAACCCAAAAGGTCATTCACAAGGTGCTTTTGTCACCACATAATACTTTTCTCAAGCATATACTGCATATGCTTGAGAAAAGTATTATGTATGTCTAAGGAGAAAGGTTTGGTCTATAAAACTGTGACATAAAGGCAGCTGAGTGCTTGAGTGCATTACAAACCTTTTTTATAGATGACAGTTTATATCTCAGTACATGTCACAGGACCAAACACAAAGAAGTCAATAAACGAGTCCTAAACTGACTCAATGGAACCTATGTAGCACTAGATGACAGAAGACATTAAAATCCATTCTAGGCCAAGCGCTGCAGTGGCTCACATCTGTAACACCAGCACTTTGGCAGGCCGAGGTAGCAGGATCACTTGAATGCAGGCGTTAGAGACCAGCCTGGGCAACATAGCAAAACCCCCTTCTCTACAAAAAATTTAAAAATTAGCTAGGTGTGGTGGTGCACACCTGTAGTCACAGCTACCCGGGAGGCTGATGTGGGAGGAATGCTTGAGCCCAGGAGGTCAAGGCTGCAGTGCACTATGATCACACCACTGCACTCCAGCTGGCGGCAGAGTGAGCCCCTATCTCAAAAATCGTCGTCATCGTCGTCATCATCATCATCATCACTATTCTTAAGACAGAGACTTGTCATTAGTTCAACATAAAACTGTATCTTTTATCTTACTATTAGGATAACTGATAGTTATTGATACATTTTTCATTGGCATTAAGGTAACATCATATGGATAATTATCTGTAAGGGAAGTAGACTATAATTAAATACAAATATGTAAATAAAAGAAAAATTGATATTTATATTTTTATTAGAGACAGTGTAGGCCTTACTCTTGTCACGCAGGCTGTAGTGCAGTGGTGCACTAATGGTTCAAACAGTCTCAAACTCTTGGGCTCAAACAATGCTCCCACCTCAGCCTCTGACATAGCTGGGACTATAGGCATGCATCACCATGCCTGACTAATTTTTTAATTTTTTTAGAGCTAAGGTCTCTCTATGTTGCCCTGGCTGGTTTGAACTCCTGGCTCAAGCCATCCTCTCATCTCAGCCTTACGAGTAGCTGGGATTACAGGCACAAACCACTATGCCTAGTGGAAAATTGGTATTGCAACCATTCTGTACATTCTTATGAATACTGAAGAATGAAAATAGTAACATAGTTATAGAAGGCTATTCTTTTTTGGAGATTAAAGGATTATAAGTGGTACATTTTACAATTTTTTTGATATCATAAGTGAAATAAAAAGAGGCTTCCAGAACATTTTTCCTAAAAACTACAGTGAATGTAAAGGCCTTAAGATTCATTTTAGAGAGGGGAAAGTAGGATATATTTTTAAGATACATCTGACTTCTATGATAGCAATGTACTAAGACAGTGTGGCTAATACTTCTTTAAGCCTTGAAATGAAATTTCATTACATATATTAAGATTTACTCTATATATGTTTTAAAGTTCGTTAAAGATATTTTAAAAATTAAACAGGATGGGCCAGGTGCAGTGGCTCACGCCCATAATCCCAGCACTTTGGGAGGCCAAGGTGGGTGGATCATGAGGTCAGGAGTTCAAGACCAGCCTAGCCAATATAGTAAAACCCCATCTCTACTAAAAATACAAAAATTAGCCAGGCATGGTGGCGGGGGCCTATAATGCCAGCTACTCGGGATGCTAAGGCAGGAGAATCACTTGAACCCAGGAGGTAGAAGTTGCAGTGACCTGAGATCGCACCACTGTACTCAAGTCTGGGCGACAGAGCAAGACTTCATTTCAAAAAAAATAAACAGAATATCTCAATTTTTTAAAAAACTATGCAGATATATAATTAGGAAAATTTTAGCTCTATAGGAATCGAATCTCTGTATAATGTCAACTTAAGACAAACTAATGATGTTTTTAAAAATATTCTTAGTTTCTCTTTAGCTCAAAATACAGGCTTGTAAGAGTCTGGATATAAGGAAAGAATAGTTGCTATGCTGGTAAGAAGGTCACCAAAAATGTTAGGCAAAACCCTGAGCCAGATGAAAGAACTGCCCTTGTCAACTTATAGCTACTAACGGTGCAGGTGGCCCAATCAGTTCATAAAACAGCACGTCCTCAGCTGGTTAGAGGAAAGTAGCAGTGTGCGGCAAAGCAAGGCAATATGTATTTCCAGGTTATTGTCTTTTAGCTCCGCTCCCAAAAAGGAGAGCCAACAATGCACTACTCACTCTTTTTCCTTTCCCTGTTCCACTCTCCACCCATTTAACTCCCCCTCCACAATTTTAGAACATGTTCTTTCCTCTGAGACCCTAAATTAGAACCCCAAATGGGGTTTGCCTTGAGATTAAGCAATACAGATAACCTAGCTGGTGTCCTCATGTAGTTACGTGGTGACTGTCAGCCTTCTCTGTTTTCTCTATTTCTGGGTTGTCTTTCTTGGGTAGTTCATGAAATACATGCTTTGCGTGGGCCTGATCATCATTTTCCATCACTATTTATCCATACTAATATTTTCAGTGTATATGGAACACCCTGCCTTTTCCCTTCTTTTTTCTCTAAAGCCAGCATTTCCCAAAGTGTTTCTGAAGCTCCTTGTGAGGGAGTCGGCTGAACACAAAATGCAGATTCCTCAGTTCCACCTGGGCCTCCCACATTACCTTTGGCAGGTTACTTAATTGTTTTTTTCACAAATTCTCCAGTTGAATTTTATATATATTAAGAACCAGTGCCTTCCTCGTTCCTTTTTAAAAATAAAAAAATTTTTTTTTTTTTTAGACAGAGTCTCACTGTGTCGCCAGGTGCCAGGCTGGAGTGCAGTGGCGCGATCTCAGCTCACTGCAACTTCCTCCTCCTGGGTTCAAGCAATTCTCCTGCCTCAGCCTCCTGAGTAGCTGGGACTACAGGTGCATGCCACCATGCCCAGCTAATTTTTGTCTTTTTAGTAGAGACGGGCTTTCACCATGTTGTCCAGGATGGTTTTGATCTCTTGACCTTGTGATCCACCTGCCTAGGCCTCCCAAAGTACTGAGAAAATTTTTTTAGAGTCTGGGTCTTGCTCTGTCACCCAGGCTGGAACACAGTGGATCATAGCTCACTGCAGCCTCAAACTGCTGGGCGTAAGTGGTCCTCCTCCCTCAGCCTCCCAAGTAACAGGGTCTACAGGCACATGCCATCACACCTGGCTAGTTTTTAAATTTGTTGTAGAGATTGGGGTCTTGCTTGTTGCCCAGACTGGTCTTAAACTGCTGGCCTCAAGTGATCATCCTGCCTCAGCCTCCCAAAGCACTGGGATTACAGGCATGAGCCACCGAGCCTGGCTGCTGTTCTCATTCTTGAAATGAACTGAAGGCAAGGAGGCAAACATATCTGTTTCATCCCTGATATACTACATGCTGGCCCATATACAGACTACATCACTGTTTCTTGGGTGTGGTCCAGGAGTCCTTGAGAGATCCACAGACCCAGAAGAGCTGTGAGGTTAAAACTATTTTCATAATAGCATTAAGGGATTATTCACATGTTTTAACTACCAGTCTCTCATACTTTAAAATAGCATTTTCTAGAGGCTACATGACATATCCATAATAATTTGAAAAGCTTAACAAAATATTCCTCCCTTTTCTAACTATAATACATATTTAAATGAGGCATATACTACTTATATATACACTGCAACAAATTGAATGCAAAGGCAGATATGGTACTCCCACTGTTTTCTATTAAGTCAGACTTTAAAAGATTTATAGAAATTTAAAAGCATGCTACTCTTTTTTTTGGAAAACATAGAAACGTATAGAAAAATGTTATCTGTGTTAAAATATAATGGGTTAATTACTGCTATCTTAGAATTTACTAATAAATATTTTTAAATTTTCTCAACATTAATTTCTAATGCAGAAATATCAATAGCTAAAAAAAAAAGGAAATATCAATAGCTATAACCCAAATAAAGGCACTCTGAAACTTTCAATAATTTTTAAGAGCACAAAGGGACCTGAGACTAAAAATTTTGAGACTTGCTTCCCCACACAACATATAAAACCAGAAAATAAAGAACACCAATTAAAAATAGATAAGAATGAAATGGGTTTTTAGAGCTATCCAAATCAAATACATAAATATTTTAATTAGATTTAGCAAGTATTTATTGAGCAATTACTATGTATAAGACATAAT